GACTGCACTAAAAAAAAGCGTAATGAGAAAACATTTTCTGCCCATAGCAAAAAAAAAAAAAACCTGATGAATGAAATGATGTGTGTTGTTCCTGTTTACACCATTTAAAGCTGTGTGTTGCTTTTTAAATTGCTAGCATCCCTCCATCTTTAGTCCACACTGGATGAAACTTAAATTGTGTTGTCAAGTGTTTACAGAATGTATGGAGTAATATTTGAGTGACTTATGTTTGTGATCTGTGTGTGGACTCGTTTTGTGCATGTGTTTGTGTGTGTGTGTGCACGTGTGTGCGTGTGCGTAGATGGAAACATCCACACATCCCCTGGACTCTAGGCTATGGCTGCTAAATCCTCTGTGAGAGCTCCCGTGTGTAATCCAAACATTTAGAGCTAATTTAAGCATGCAGGCAGGAGCAGCATCCTTTAGGAAACAACAGCTCTCTCTCTTTCTCTCTTCATCCACCACTGTGTGTGTGTGTGTGTGTGTGTGTGTGTGTGTGTGTGTGTGTGTGTGTGTGTGTGTGCTGCGCAGGTGTTTGTGTGCGAGTGTCTTGTTGTCGCTGGAGGGAAATGAAAGCACTCAATCACTCACCTGTCAGAGTACTTCAAAATCTGTCCGTAACACACAAGTACACACAACCACACACAGCCACACATGCATGCATGGACAAACATGAACACACATGTGCATACACACTTACCCCTGAGGGTTTGACAGCACTGGCCCTTTATTGACTCCCTTGATCAAGGAGACAGCAGATCCATTTAATAGAAGCTACACACACTCACATACTAGCGCACGCACACACACACAGGCACGGAAATCAAAGTGGATTCACATCTGCTCTCCACACAGCTCCACTGTATCTTCCTCTGGTAGTCATTTAAAACTGCGGCTTTATCGGCTGTTGAATTAAATTTTAAAAGCCACTACTAATAGATGTCATAATGTTTTTCCATTGCCGGTTTCTCTTGTCATAGTTGCATTGCCGTTGCAGAAAAACAGCTCTGATTTGCCTCTTTGCAGCATCTTGTGTTACAGCATGGAGTGCGAATGCAAGCCCAGTCAGGGTTATAGGCATGTTCTGTTGGCCCTGGCCCCTGTACTCCCCCAGTTGGCCATGTTTTGTGCTGAGTGTTTTGGAAGGCCAGTTAGCCAAGAGGGTGCTGGGAGGAGATGTGACAGCTGTGTTGGTCACGGCTACTCTGACCTTCACACGTCATCCTGATGGATCATCAAGGCTGTGGCGATACGCTAAACCTGTTGTGTAGGCCTGCGCTACCATGAGCATGCACCAGCATTCAGCTGCTTGCATTTTTGGTATCAAAGTGCAACTGAAGTCAGTACTCAGTAATGACAGACTTATCCTGCAAAGAAAAGCAGGAAATGGAGGTGTATTGCTTAATGCAGCGAAGAGAAAAGTTATCATGGCAACACAAAAACATGCGCGCATACATAGCACTAAAAGGGCGAAGCATACAATCAAGACTGGAATTACACACGCACACACACACACATATACATATATATATATATATTCTAGCTCACACAAATGGATTGCACTAATGTTCAGAGCTTTTCATTGGTCTCAAAGGGCTTTACTCCAGTGTGTGGTGTAACCCGTTCCCTCGAGATGGCACTTGCTCCATCAAGTCAAGGAAGAAACCATTTAGGGGAATGATAAACACACACGTATATTCACACATACACGCAGCACTGGGAGGCTGGAGGGATTTGAATTGCACTTAGGCAAACGTTTCTCACATAAGTTCTTTATTCCTCGTCTCGTTCCCATCTTTCCCCTGAACGTACACTTGCTCACATACAAAAGTACTTGTGCAGAGATTCCATTTTGTCAGCTTTCAGCCCCAGATCATGTAACGATAAAAGATGCTGCCCTGCAGTTAAACACTGCCAGTAAATCACAGGGCAAAGAAAGCTGGGAGAAGCACTTATTTTTAAGCAGCATGAGAGACCATACTGAGGGAGGGAGGGAGGGAGGGGGGGCAGATAGGGTAAGACAGAGAGAGAGAGAGGGAGAGAGGAAGAGAGAGCTTCTTTGTGCACTGTGTACTGGCATTGTGTGTGATGAAGAGATGAATCACTGCTATTTAGGGATTGGTTTCCTGCAACTGATTGTGTGACGACTCGGTGGCGGACAGACTGTCAAGACTTGCCTGTTTTGTTCTGGGGGCTTCAGGAAAATGTCTGCGGCCAAGTCTCACTAACTCACTCCCACAAGGCCCGGTGTGCCAGAGATCAGCAGAGACAACAGAGACAAACACCTCGCCAGTGTCGCTCGTCTAACAATGCATCAAATATTAAAAAGCAGGGGATTTTAGGCCAATCTCAATATGTATATTTTCAGAGTACACTTGTTTTCCGTGCTCAAATACCAGCAGAGCTTGTTCATAAATGAAGGCTCACGTGACTTACTTACTTACTTTCTTTCTTTCTTTCTTTCTTT